GGTATCATTGCCGTTCTGGTTAACAAAGTCAACTACTTGCTCCTATCATCTATTTTGCAATTATTCCATAATAAGATACTCTTAAATAATCTAACTTGGACGTATATTATGATATATTATGCGATATAACTAATTTAGAAGTAGAATTCCAAATCTATTTCTATCACATAACATTTTCAAGTTAGTGCAGAAAATTGATGCAGTAGACATAAAAATCAGATAGAATTGTGAGCCTAAATTTTGGAATAATTCCCTTTGAGTAATAACGTTAAGTTATCATAGGACTTAATAATATTCAGTTCTTAACCGTCAATGAAAAAAAAAGTATTAAAAAATGAACTCTCAAGTTGAAGATTTGTTTTTAGAAATAGAAATTTTAATTAAACTTCAACTCAAAGATAACATTCAAAATAATTCCGAAGTTGAACGGAAATTTAAAGATGCAATAACATTGATTAACGAAATAGAAGCTGATGATGAAAAACAACATGGATTATATAGATATAAATATCACTCAACTTATAATAGCTACTTAAAGACAGTTGGTGATATGAAAAACGCCGACAAACAAGAAAAATTAGCAAAAAAATTTGAAAAATACTCGAATACTCACGCCGAAAGACCAACACAATTCAAATTATTTACAGATGTTACAACCCCAAACACCGTCAATCAAGATCGGGATTGTAACCTTAAAAATAAGAAACTTGCAGAACAATTGGAAAACATTTATCAAATTTTAGTAAACGAATTAACAGAAACTGATTTAGGTGATAAATTTATTAGAGAGATAAACCAAATTTTTGAAAAGCTTAATGAGGTAACAAAAACCTTTGAAGGCTATCAAGAAACTGTAAATTGCGAGATTTATCTGCGTAAGTTAGCAGATAACTTAATTAATGAGAAATTAATCATTCTGGAGGTTTCTCAGATTTTAACTAACAGTAATGATGAAGAGGAACTTGATAATAAACCTTCAAAACTTGAAAATATTAGTACAGGGTTGATCGATCATTTGAAAAGTTTAAAATTCTTAGCACATGAAATAGCATATTCAAAAAGGATAGAATTT